ACCAATCATTTGTCTAATAACAAACATTAATTTTTTTGTTCTACAGTTTCTAACCAAACTAACAAATGTCACAAAAGAAAAACAAATGGTTATATCCTTCCTGTGCAAGGGCAAGAATGGGTGCAATAGAAATGCTTTACAGGATGCTATCAATCATTAGTTTCGACAGGAATACTAACCATTTTTCATTTTTACTTCAATGGATTGTGCATTGCAAAACCGAAGTCCTACTTGTTGAGCACACCACTGAGAAGCTTTTGTAATGACATTAGAATAAGGTTCAAAGATGGGAAATGAAAAGAAACCTCCTTCTGACAAAGCTGCTGGGACAAAGTCTGCAAGACCTGATAGGAAAGAGAACAAAGTTTTATCTTCATAGCTGTTAAAGAAACTATACAAACATCATACATTCATTCTTCTAAACATGCACAATGTACTTTTATTTGCTCTAAAGCTTCTCCAAGTGATTTATGTAAATTCCAGGTTCTAATACATTCTGATATATTTATGACACCAGTTGCACTAATAAAACAATAATACCACAAAAAATAAAATGTTACATAAGTCTGTGAACAATAATGGTCACAATATTTCTATCATTGTCTTTTCAAACTATCACAACAAATTTGAATAACGTAGATGCAATAGTTACCAATGTCTTCAACTGATGGTAAACCATGTTCATAAAAGACTCTTATGACAAACAGAAAATGACGTTGCCTATCACCATGTTCTGACCAAAAAGAACGGTCAGGGTCGAAGTTTGAGAAGTCTGAGATTTTCATTTCCTGGCATTCTACTGTTAAAATTCTACCTTTAAAATAAACATAAAATATTACTTAGGAAATACAGTATTTACTCTACAATAAACTGTTATATTTGCTTGTATAAATGTTTTAAATTTATACTTAAAAAAACGAAAGTAAAAAAATACTACTGGAGAAACAGATAAAGCTTTGTATTCAATCATCACAACAATTTTTTATTAACTTAAAATACCACCTTAATTTTAAATTAAGATTAGTGTCATATCTCTGTCTAAAGTTCAATTTTCTCAACATTGACAAACACGTATAATCATAAGCTCATGTACTACATTCTAAAATGTCCAACATTTTACACTCTTGCTAGTGATAACACTGCATATAGAACATAAGCTTGTTTACAAGTTGATATTCGTCTTTTAATCCTACATTTGTGACCCACCATGGTTTTGATGAAAATAAAATCTTCAAGAAATAAACACTTATTTTTATAGCAATCTGTTTTATTTGCTATCTACCTGGTAATGGATTTGTATGTGAGGAGCTATTGAACCTGGCAAGAAGACAACTAAGTGTTTCAAATGTTGGGAAACCCCAAAAGCCTGAAGTTCCTGTAGTTTCAGGTACCAGGTTGACATAACCAAGTTGTTGAGGTGGACGGCTAGGGTCAGCACGAGGAACAATCCACAATCTAGTCAAAACGAAATATTTTTTTTTATTGATTTAAGGGCAAAATATTTTTTCCACACAAAATACATTACGTATTATTCAGGTTAAAAGGTTGATATGACTTGTTCTGGTTAGACCACCTACTTTTACCATAAACCTAAAATCTCAGGTACAGAAACCAGAAAGTTTATTTGTAAAATTAATAAATTTTACCCGGTAAAACATATTCTTAAAGGTTAGTTCTAGTGAATGTAATCCTAAACAGTGTATCACAACCTATGAAAGTACCTATTTCTATTTCTGTGAGTACAACTGTAATCAAATCCACCTCCTCTTTGGATGAATGTTATTTTTATGGCAAAAAAAATTTAAATCAACATATTTTTGCTAAATTCAACTCAGTTGTTCTGTTTTCAAGATCTTAATCTGCTTATATAGCTTATTTACATAAATAAACTAATAATTGAACATTGGTTAAAAAAGAAACTACAACAATTAAATGTAAATTCCTTTCCAGCAAACCAAATATCTGCTTTTACTAACAGAGAAAATGTTAGCTGCTCAAGTCTTTAATGTATTCAAAGTTAACATTTTCCTTACCTGAAAAATGTATGTTAAATAAATGCTCATCTCTTCACACAAAATAACTTCTTTCCTCTTGAGCACCCACAATATGCCAATGAGATTTCCAAGCTACCAGACTTGTGAAAACTCTCATGTAATCTCACATGAAAGCACATGAATTTTCACCACTGCATGATGATTTAATCATACAGTAGAAACCTCCACCAACAGAAGTGTGATACACAGAAAATAAAAAAATATGCAGGGGAAAGTGGGTACGATGGATGGAAACGTGTGGAGGTGAGTATCTATTAGAAATATATTTTCAGATAAGCAAAATGTTAACTTCTGATATGAATACTCAACTCTGCACAACAAGTAGCTAGAATCCCATGTTGAAAGGGTGGAGGTGCCAGTGCAAAGGTTACCTTGATGAGCTCCCTTCAGAAAGCATCTGCAAGAAGCCCATGAAGTGTGACACCCAATAGCAAGGGCTCTAGTTGAGGACTCTACCTCGTCTTATTCAGGATATACTCTTCGCTTGTGTATTAGAACAGAAGAGGAAGAAAAGCCATAATCGTGTAGCAAGGATGGACAGAAAAGGTAGATGGCCATCCAAGTGCTCACACACAAGCTGTAAGACAGCCAATATGCACAGTGAGGTTGGGAATCTTCAAACCACTCACCTCCTCTACCCAGAGACTTGATAGGTCAAAACCAGCTGTGAGGGAAGGTTCATTTCTTTAACCATCAGTCACTATGGGCCACTTTCCTGTTGTGAGAGTAGGGTATGTGAATGATACATCACTGGTGTATATGATGTGGTCACCTCAACTATACTGTCAAATACTAAGGGCCCCATGTCAGCTGTGGGAGAAGGAGACTGTATACACCAAAACCCAACCGTGAGTCACTACAGGCCATACACAAGCTGCAGGAGTGCAATTTTGTTAGTACAATGTAGAATGAATCTGTAATAGTGTGTTCACCTTGACCCTAATGAACAGACTTTGGGTGCAGGAGGAGGATTTGTAAGTTAAAGATGTATAGAAAGAAGAGTAGAGGGACTCAGTGTTCTAGCCCCAGTGGTTAGGTCCCAATTGATGAGGATTCTCCATGGTCCACCACTCCATCAGCTGGGAACTTATATGTGGCAAGGTCCTCCCATGACACACTCGACAAGGAGGGAGAATTAGTATTGTAGGGTCCTTCAATCTGGAAAGGTCTTTTACTGGAGACAGCACAAAGGATGACCACAAAATCCTATTTTTAAAAGCCAGCAACTGCTAGCCAGAGAAGTGGGCAGAAACATTGCTCTGGTACTAGTTTTTCCATGATAGCCAATGGAATGGGTACAGTCTGGATCACACTTGAAAAGTCATATGCATAAAAATACCATGAGGAAACATCAAGTGGTCTTATGGAACACCTCATCTCACAGTGGGCACTTGTAGAGTCAGGGCAGTTGTTACAAGCACTTTCCATTATGCTGGCTTGATGTGAATTTTGTGTAAGTAAACCATGGGAGGCAACACTAGCCACCTAGTGGGGCCCTATAGTAATTGCACGGTGAAAAACCAATTTGCATATGGAAGAAAGGTTTTAGTGCTGACCCTTGCTGTAGAAGACTAGCTGGGATAAATGAGAAGGTAAGTACAGTGTAAAAGAAAACTATTGCAGGGTTCTTGGTAATATCTATACATGTAAATACTTATTTCATAGATGAGATACTTGTTTCTGTTTCCTCTACATGTATTAAATAACAGTGCATTTGCAACTCAATTTCTTTTTTTCATTGTTTGGAATAATTTAGCGAAATATTAGATAAAAGCTTGCATCTTATATACCCATGCGTCCTATATGCCATCAAATACGGTACTTTAATTTCTGGACAACCTAATACTTTAAAATGGAAATACCTTTGTTAGGGTTTCTTAGGGTTGTTCTGAGAAGAATGGCATATAAGAATAAAAATTACTTCTATACAAAACCTAGTGTCATCTAATTAAGACAGAGTAGTAAAAGGTGTCTTTCTACATTGTTTGTGCTTAGGTATTCTGTTATCATTTTTTGTGTACAATAAAATATAAAGACTGTATTAATATTTACAGTCTTGTCTTCATAAAGTTTAACCCCTAAGGTCAGATCATTGTTAAGATACATCATAACAAAATCAAGTGCTTAGTTTTCTGGTGATTTAGTGACAACACTCGAAAAAAAACATCCTAAATAACATAAGAGAGTCATTTTAGTAAAAATTAAACAAAATATATTTCTTACTGGCTTAAAGCAACATGTATAAAAATTCTAACTTTCAACACAAAATAATTTCTGAAACATAAACCTGTCTACGATCAGTCAGACAAGAGTACAACAACCAGTGTCTTCGATGACTGGCAGTGGAGGTAACACGTGAGGAGGAGGTTCTTGGTAATGTCCATCCATGTAAACTCTTATTACAAAGATGAAATACTCATTTCTGTTTCCTCTGTTATATGTGAATGATGCCTCAACACCCTCATAAGCTTCACCACCACTAAACAGTCTCATTGCAACAGTTTCTACACTCAGCACTCTTGCACCTAAAACAAAGAAAAACTAACAGACTAAGATTTGATTTTATTTTACACAATAAACTCTGATAAGATATTTAATAAAACAGAAAGTGTTCAATACAGTTGAATAGTACATTGACAAGTTTAAAAGCTATATCACACAGTTATTATTTACCTGTAGACCTCAGCCAAGCTTCCACTCGAGCCTTAGTTTGTGTCAAACCTTCAAACTTGGGCATAAAGAAGCCAGAACTGATCTGCATAGGTATAAAAGTCTTACAAGTGAGTTGGAGAGGAGGTGAAAAAGATACTCCCACACCATCATTAGCTTTTGTGTATGCCACTCTCAGAATGCGCACATAAAAGGTAGTTCTTTCCGAATGTTCTGTATAAGAGGTCCTTTGCGTATCAACTGCTTGAGATCCTCCTAAAGATAAAAAACAAACATTCTGTAACAGCTTAAATAAAAACAGTAAAGCACTTACAACTATTCTAACACTTCCTACAAAGGTCATGCTAAAAAAGGCTAATAAAGCCATTTGGAAATTAGCAAGTAAATCTTCCCTTGTTTCCATATGTATTGTAAGGAATAAACATGGGATTGTTATATTTCACAACTACCCCAGAATTATGGTTAATTTTGTGAAAATTATATGCAGAGGTGAACACTATACAAAGTTTTTAGATCAGTCTGTAATGAACAATATAGAACAAGAATTTTGTGTTGATGTTATTAAACTGTATAAATATTTTGTCATTTGTTTTTCTGTACAGTTTTATTTTTCCACCTTAGTAAATTAGCATTTTGTTTTATTAGCAAATGTGTTGTTTCCCATGTCTTTCATTTGAAAACAACAATCCTTTTGAAGACAACTTATCATGTGCTAGTTGTCTGAATTTTTTTTATAATTGCAGTAACTGGTGCAGTGTGGTTATGTTTAGCATGTTGTCTCAGAATTTTAGCTAATGACAATAATATCATAACATTCTTGGTGGCAAAAACTGTACTGTAAAATGCTAAAACCAGAAATATAGAAAAATATATTAACACTGTGACAAAATCTTATAAATCAATCACATTTATAATCTGGTTTTCTTAGAATGCATTGTAAAATTAGCACTGGGATTATTACAGTAACTATTGTACTAAATAACAGTGCATTTGCAACTCAATTTCTTTTTCCATGTGGCATTTTCTGTTTAGACACATATTAACATAAATTTTTATGCTAAAATTGTCCATATAAACCAAAATTTTCATGACTGAAATCACGTGTAATATGATGGAAATAAGTCACCTTAGGTTCAATTTGGAATGATTTAGCAAAAATATTACATAAAAGCTTAGAAAAAAAGACAATGTTAATAACAAACACTAATTTTTTTTTGTTTTACAGTTTCTAACCAGACTAACAAATGTTACAAAAGAAAAACAAAAGGTTATATTCTTTCTGTTCAATTGTTTTTTGTTTTTTTTTAAGATGTTCCTTGTAAACCATATTTTCTATAATTACATACTAAAGAAACATTTCTCAAAGCAACTTCTTTAGCCATAAACATAACGCACTTGGACTCTTCTGTTTTATACACCTACATAAAGTTCATATCATTTTAAACTATGTTATTGCACAAATTATTAGTCATCACTTAAAAGTTGAACTCAAAAACCTGTGCATAATCAATCAGACAAGAGTACAACAACTAGTGTCTTCAATGACTGGCAGTGAAGGTAATATGTGAGGAGGTTTTTTCCTGAATCTGACCTGCTGAAATGGGGGTGTTTTTAGTGTATTTAAGCATATATTAGTGAAAGTAATCTAACAGCACATTACACAAGCAGAAAACACTTGAACATAAACTAAAACACAGTAAGAAAATGGGGATACACTTTAATCATCTTCAT